TCCTGAAGTGAGATTATTTAAACATATGGATATTTATTTTACTAACCAAAAGTAGAGCAGCATAAGCGCTTTAAAGGATTTGTCCAGGTATTCGAAGAAAGGAGTTGACTATTGTTATTTGTACGACGCACACAAAGCTGAAAGTGCGGAGCGTTTTTTTTTTTTTTTTGCGCCATCACGTCTTATACCTAGAACCGTTCCAAATGCAGTCCGACACATTAAGGCCCGGCATGATCAGGTGATTGGGGTGATTAAGACGCTTGACTCGCAATATGAGGGTCGCGGGTTCGAATCCCCGTCCAACCAAACATGCTTGCCCTTTCAGACGTGGGGACGTTATAATGTGACGGTCAATACAACTATTCGTTGGTAAAAGAGTAGTCCAAGAGTTGGCGGTTGGTGGTGATTACTAGGTGCCTTCCCTTAAGTCTTTCACTGTTAAATTAGGGATGACTAGCGCAGGCAGCCGCCCTCGTGTAGTTTTGTGCGAAATTCAAAACATACAAAACAAACCGACAAATTAAGCGACATGCCTCTCAAAGACCCAAACCACACTTTTGCTCACAGTTCGCAGATGATGTTGCAATCTGGAAGAGTGCCCCAAACCCAACAACAGCAACATACAATATACGACCACTACTAAACGAAATAGAATTGCACTGCAATGTTAAAATTGCACTGAAAATTAAAATAAATGCGCACAAAACACAAGTCATATTATTTACAAAATCGTATAAAACAACCAACTTAATACCACAGTTATATCTAGACGGGACTCTCTTACAGGTAGCAACATCAGCAAAATTCTTATGGAATACATTTGACTCAAAATTAAACTGGATACCACACCTTAATAGCATATAAACCAGAATATGGAAAAGAGCGAGTTACCTTAGGAGTCTGACTGGCAACAAACAAGAAGTTTCACCAGAAAACATATTAAAAATTTACAGAACATACATAAGACCAGTCGTAGAATATGCCTGTATAACATGGATAAATGTATCAAAAACATACATCAACAAACTACAGCAAATGCAAAAGTATATTTTAATGATCAACAAATTCAGAATTTCTATACAACTATCCAAACATGCCAACTTTATCAGACAGACTCCAGGATAACTCATTTCAATATTATAAGAAAACTATTAATACAAGTAAACTGATGAGCAAACTAGAGAGTTACATAATACATGATGAACCAACCAAGCCCTAAGTACCTCTCCCTCTAAACATCATAAATAATAAACTTACAGGCCAAACAGT